ATAAATATTAAACTATTTAAAAAATGCTATAAATTTTATAACTAGTTTAATATTTGGAAAGGTTATTTATATATTTAAAAAAAATTTATTCTCATATTAATTTTTTTATTTTTTTTAAATTAAAACAAACATTTTTATTTTAATATTATTTTAATTATATGGATTATAAAATAATATTTAACACAAAAATAAAATTAAATAATAAAACAGTTTGGGATATTAATTATATATTACATTGGTGAATTTTTTTTTATAAAAAAAATAAGTATTTCAACTAATTATTATAACAATTTATTTAAAATATCACATTAGAAATATTTATCAAAAATTAATTAGCAGTAAATTTATTTTAATAAGTAATAATAAGATTTTTTGATAATATTTTTAAATTTAAAATCCTATGACTACTATAAGTCAGGCATTAATAAATTATTAAACTTTGGCGGTATATTTGTTTTAAAAATATTATTTTTTTTTATTTTAGATTTTAGATTTACAACACTATGGGAATTAGGAATTATATTATATCGTGAAAAAAATAAAATATATAGAATTGAAATATATATTAATCAAATTAGTAACAATTATAAAAGTTATAATAATAATAATCAAGATAACACTTTTTTAACTTATTTTATAAATTATTTGTTAAAAACAATATTTAATTTATGTTTAAACCTTAAAAATAAACCAAAAGTGTAAAGTATTCTACTAATGGTATTTTTAAAATTTGTTTTGTAAAAATTAATTACATATCGGTATTTATTTAAAAAAATTAAATAAAAATAATTAAATTTTACTTTATTATTAATTATATTTCTAAAATTATTTTTCCGTTTTAACACAAATCAATTGATGTACAATAGTTATTACAATAACTATGGGCGTCATTATTTAATCCAGTAAAATTTATTTTTTAAAAAAAAATTAATATTATTATCTAGTTTATAACATAGATAAATTCATGACATTGATTATATTTTTTTTGTAAATATACTTATTTACGCATAATTCAAAACAATCGATTTCATTAGTTGATATAATTTTTTAAAAATATTTTTTTTAGCTATATTTAACAACATTAGCACAAACTATTATTATTATGTGTATTTCTATTAAAAATAATTAAAAATTTTTCAAATTTACGAAACCATTCATTCTATCGACACTAGCAATAGTTTTGTTTTTTTTTTAGTTAAATTCATTAACAACATTGGACCATCAAAAGTTTTATTAAAACTTTAAATTTAATCACAGATTTTAGTTTATTAAAAAATAAAATAAAAGCTAAAACTTTCAACAAAACTACTAGTGAAATAATAAATGGAAAAACAGTTTTTTTTGATAAACAGATGAAAATATATATTAAAACAAAAATTAAATTATAATAAATCTTATATTGATTTCAATATGATATCACTAATTAAATATTCAATCAATTATAATAATTTATATATGAAATATTTTCAAAAATTATCAAACAATCACCATGATGATGATGATGATGATAATAAATTTCTAATTGATGATAGTGTAAATAAAAATACATTAAATGATTAAAAACATTAAAAACATAATATTAAATACATTGAAAACTAATAGTATTAACTTTGCATAATTCAAATGATTATGAAATTACTGATACAAATTATTTAATTGCATTTAATTTCAACAATGATCATAAATTTATTTAATTATAGACAAATTAATTGTTTTTAAAAAATCAATTTTTATGATATATTTAATATTTTTTTTTGATTTGTTGTTGTTGTTAATTGTTTTATTATCCAAATTTCCAAAAAAATTATGAACTATTATCTCGAATAGGCTTTAATTCAATATATAATAAGCAAAATAAATTAATTAGCAGTCAATGAGTATTTAATAAGTAATTGAAAAGGTTAGTGATAATAATCTAAATTTAAATAATATAATTTAGATTTACAACTCTATGGGTAATTTGGTTTACTATTATATGGTGAAAAAATAAAATATATAAAATTTAAATAAAAATTTAGATATATATTAAACAAATTAATAACAACTATAATAATAAATATAAATTAAAATTTTTATAGTATTAATTTAAATTATTTAAATGTATTATTTTATTTATTACTTAGTAGCCAATTAATAACTGTTTGGTTTTAATAGTTAAATTATTTTTACATTAAAAATTTTATAAATATGTTTTTAGTTAAATTCATTAACAACATTGGATTAGTTTTATTTAAACTTAAAATTTGATAACAAATTAAAAAATATATTAAACTAAATATTTGATATTTATTATTGTTATAACATTTAAGCTATAAACTTTAAAAAAAATAAAACTATTATATAATAACTATTTTATTTATTAATATTTTTAAACAAGATAAATTTGCTATTAAAATTAAATTATTATTAGAATAAATATACTTTAAATTGAAACTAAAATTTATTTTTCAAAAAAACAGATAATTGAAAATTATTAATCTTCATTATGAAATTAAAATCTAAAAAATAAAAATTTAGTAATGATTTATTTTTCGCAATAATAATAACAATTTTATAATTATGAATGTATTATTTAAAAAAACATCATCATTTTAAAATTATATTAATTATATGGATTATAAAATAACATTTATTTTAACTAAAGCTTTAACAAGTATATTTTTATATTTTTCTTAATAATAAATTGATGCCAAAATTTTTAAAACAATAGATGATATTAAAGAATTACAATGTAATTGTTAAAATGTTAAATTTTTATTATCAAATTTTATAAATTATATATATATATATTTGTTTTAGTTATATTCATTAACAACATTGGATTAGTTTTATTTCAAACAAAATTTCTAATTTCTAACCAAATTTTCATAAATATTAAACAAATAAAAAATGCTCAAAAATATTATATAGTTTTAAACATTATCATTTTAATATTATTTTATTAAAAACATTTTTATTTAAGTTAATTATTTTTGTATTAAATTAATGCAAATCAATTTGAAACAATAGATGATATTTAATAATCATTCAATAGATATATGATATATTTTCAACTAATAATTATAATAATAGTAAGTAAAATATAAAAAAATTAAATTAATAATAAAACTTAGTTAATAAAAATTTATCAAATTATTTTAAAATCATAAAATTATTTTTAAGTATTTATTAAAACTTGTAACTTTAAATATTAAAATAATAATTTAATAATATATGTATTTTTTCAAATTATATTATTAAAAAAAATTTAATATAAAACAGATAATATCAGAAATATTATTATAACTAATTTCTATCCATTTCATTTTTTCATTTAATTTTGATTGTTTTTTCTTACTAGAATAAATTTTGTATGCAACAAATGTATGAAAAAATGGCCAATAATTTGATTCATTATTTAAATCAGTAAATCTGATCTCTGATTCACTGATTTTAATTTTTTCCAATAGTTGTTTAAACTCTTTATCTGATTTAACAAATCGATAATCAATAGCCCAATCAGCGTATTTATCAATAATCTGTGCACAGGTAGGTCTAAAACAATATCTGGGTTGAGTTGTTTGTAAAATAATGTCATAGAGATTGCAATAATTCTTATATAAAATTTTTTTTGATTTATATTTATCAGGTGAACTAGAATTTTTTTTTTGTTGTAAAAAATATATAAAATATATAATTAATTAAATATATTTAAATTAAATAGAAAAAAATAATTAACAAACCTATTGATATCTATTTCAAACAAATCTTCAATAGTCACACCAGTGCTATAGATATCGGATTTGGTATTATAATTGTGATGAAAACGGACTTCGGGTGCCATATATTTAGGAGTTCCCACACCCGAGGTATGACTCTGTGATACTATTCCATCATTACTACTAATACTTTCACAATTTGTTTCTCCAAACGGTATATGTTTTGTATCATTTGATATCATTTGGTGAACTGTTATTAATCCTAAATCACCTAATTTTATGAATTGTCCGCTTCTCATATCGTTGGCAATCAATATGTTGTCGGGTTTCAGATCCCGATGAATGATCGGTGGATTTAATTCATGTAAATATCGGACACATTCTAATATTTCCCGAAGTATTTCACACGTTATGTAATATTCCATACAATCCATGGGTTCACCCAATTGTCTATCGAATACTTGTGCTTTCAATTTGATGGCTTCTTTCAGATTCATTATACAGTATTCCATAGAAATGTATATTTTATTATCGAAATTCCAACTTTCATATGATTTTATTACAAATTTTGAATTTATTTTGTTTAGTTTGTTAAACTCTTTTTCATCTTCATTGTTAATAGAATTAATATGTAAAAATTAAAAATAATTATTAAATAAATTTATATTTAAAAAATTAATTACTTGAAATTTCAATTATTTTTATGGCATAAATATTTTTATCTTTTTTATCTATGCATTTATACACTGATCCAAATGTTCCCGATCCTAATCGTTTTAATGCATAATATTTAATGTTAAGCATGTTGAACTTTTCATCTAATTTAATATAAAATAAAAATTTTAATTAAAATTTATTAAAATTAAAAATACATACCATTACTTAAATTTAAGTAATCGTTATAATTATCACTAATTTTTTTAAAACTAATTTCTATGAATTTAAATATTTCTTCATTAAAATTAATTGATGAATAAGTTTTGTCTGTTATATGAAATTCTTGAGTCCAATAATGAAAATAGTTTTTATAATTTAATTTATTTTTTTTATTATATTTTAAATTATAAAAAACGTTATTCATTGAACATAAAGTATAACACTTATTCCATTTATAAGATATTATTGATTGAATATTTCTGAATTTTTTATAACTTCCCAATAATTTTCGTGTATTTTGTATTTCAATTTCATTTTTTTTATTATAATATTTGCCACAAAAATAAACTTTATTTTTGTTTTCATTAATAAAATACGTGTTTACAACACTTGATTGTATTGATGTTATACCCGTTAAGTTGTATATTAATTTAGGTTTACATATTGATAGAGCATTTTCATTGTGACCCAATTTATTGCTACGATTCTGACCCAACTAAACACTTGTCCATCGGTTGTCAATACAAACGATGAATAGTCATAACAGTAAACAGATTTTAAACAATACATTGAATCATTTAATTCAATTTTTTCCGGTTCAGTGATTTCATCGCAAGCAGTGTCTCGGCTACCGATTTGTCCGAATCGATTGCTACCCCAACCATACAATTCATTATTTTGGGTCAACACTAACGTATGATATGAACCACAGTTCACATCTGATATTAAATGATTGTTTTCAGTAATTTGTATTTTTATTGGTCGACAAAATTTCTGTTTGATTGAATTACCGATACCTAACTGTCCACAACTATACAAACAATTATTACTATCACTACTTTGAAATATTACAAATTCATAGCCGTTTAGAAAATTAATTATCTTTTTATGACTCATTTCTTTGATCTCTTGTGGTTGACTCACATACTGGTTGTGTCCGAAACCCAGCGATCCGTAAGCATTAGCACCCAATCCATAGACCCGATCGTCGTGTGTGACAAATAACATATTAATACCCAATGAGTCGTCAAATACATAAAACTTATCAATCATTTGAATCCATTCATCCATTGATGTCATCATTTGTTTTGATATTTGTGTTTCATTTCTCACATTTGATATTATTTTCTTAGACATAATTATTATTTGAATTAATTTGAAATAATTTACTTATTAATATCGTTGTTATTATTTTAAAATAAACAATTTATTTTATATTAATTAAACTTTAAAATATTTTACAATTTATATCATAAACATTTATTAAAAAAATTAGTATAATTATTATTAGAAAATATTATTTGTTAATTAAAACATAATAATGTTTATTAATATATTTAGATGTTTGACACTTTATATAGTATAAATATATATTTATTTTACGCATTTCATATTCATTATCAATGTTACCCAGATCATTTATTATTGTTTTTAATAATTTTACAATTATAATTTGATATTATTTTCGCATTAATAATAAAACTAATTAATTTTATTAATTTATAATTATAATAAGTATATTTTTTAATATTTAATTAAATAATAACATAATAAAATACGCATTTAATTGTTTTATCAATATGTAACCAAGATGATTAATTTTTATTATTGTAATTATATATATCTTTGACATAATTTAATATATATATTTTGTATTAATAATAAGACATTTTGAAAAATAAAATTTAACAATTCTACCCGGATCTGTTATTATTGTTATTAATAATTTTACAATTATAATTTGATATTATTTTCGTATTTATAATAAAATTAATTGCTTTTACTAATTTTTATACACAAGTATATTTTTAATTAAAAATTTATTGTAATAATTACATAATCAAATACGCATTTCATTGATTTATCAATATGTAATCATTAAGATTTATTTTTATTATCGTAATTAGTTATATTTTTTACATAATTTAAAATATATATTTTCTATTAATAATAAAACATTTATTAAAAAAAATATATTTTATTAATTTATAATTCACTAATTAATATTTATTATTATTTTAAAATAAACTATTCATTTTATATTAATTAAACTTTAAAATATTTTACAATTTATATCATAAACATCTATAAAAAAAATTAGTATTATATTTAGTGTTTATTCAAAAAAATAAATTATATGTTAATATTGAATGTTTATAAATTTAAAATAGAAATAACTAAATTTTAATTAATTTTAATTTAATTTTGTATTAAATATTTTCAATAATTTATTAAAATTTTGACGTGATTTATATATAACAAATGTATGGAAAAATGGCCAATAAGTTGGTTCATTAAATTCATCCTGAATTCTGAGCTCCCATTCCCTAAATTTTATATCATCTAATAGTTGTTTAAATTCTGTAGTAACAACTGTACCATTAATAGCCCAATCAGTGTATTGTTGAATAATTTCAGTACAGGTAGGTCTCAAACAAAATCTGGGTTGTAGTGTATTACAAATAATTTTATATATTTCCAAATAATTATCAAACAATTTATGTGATTTATATTTATCGAGTGAACTATAAAAGTTTAAAAAAATATATATATATAAATATTTATGTGAAATTATTAAAAAAATAATAAAATCAATTAAAAATAATTAACAAACCAATTGCTATCCAATTCAAACAAATCCATAATAATGACACCAATACTATAGATATCTGTTTTAATATTATAATTTTGTTGATAGACTTCTGGTGCCATATATTTAGGAGTTCCCAAACAATTTGTATGTTTTTTATTAAACATTTCGTAAACTCTTATTAATCCTAAATCACCTATTTTTATGAACTGTCCGCTTCTGATATCATTGGCTATCAATATGTTGTCGGGTTTGAGGTCGCGATGAATGACCGGTGGATTCAATTCATGCAAATATCGGACACATTCTAACACTTCTCTCAGTATTTCACACGTTATGTAATATTCCATACAATCCATGGGTTCACCCAATTGTCTGTTAAATACTTGTGCTTTCAATTTGATGGCCTCTTTTAGATTCATTATACAGTATTCCATTGTAATATATAGATTATTTTTGTAAAAAAATTTTTCATATATTTCTAATGAAAATTTTGAATATACATTGCTTATTTTATTTATTTTTTTAATGGCTTCGTTGACTAAGTTAATATCTAATAAAAAAAATTAGTTTCAAGTATTAATTTTTAAAATATTTAATTACCTGAAATCTCAATTAATTTAATTGCTGAAATAGATTTAGAAAGTTTATGTTTGCATTTATATACTAAACTAAAAGTTCCCGATCCCATTAGTTGTAATTTATCATATTTAGTAAAATAATAGTTATCTATTATATAAAAAAAGTATATAATATTTTATTAATTATTTAGTGGCATAATTAACAGTATATAGATATACATTCACTTAATGTTAAAAAATCACGAGAATTATCAGTAATATTTTTTAAAGTAATTTCAATGTATTTATATATTTGATCATTAAATTCATTTGATGAATAAATTTTATCATTTATTCGATAATTTTTTGAACAAAAATCAAAACTATTTTTAAAATATATTTTATATTTTTTATTTCTATCTAATTGATAAATGCTATCATTTAATGAACATAAAACAATTATCGAATTCCATTTATGAGATATAATTGATTGAATATTAATAAATTCATTATAATTTCCTAGAAATTTTGGTGTTTCTTGTATTTGAATTTCATTATTTTCATTAAAATATTCGCCACAATAGTATACAATATTATCATTTTCATTACTAAAATACGTATTTACACGACCAGATTGTATAGATGTAATACCAGTTAAATTACATATTAATTTTGGTCGACATATACACATATCGTTAGTATTGAGACCCAATTTATTCCTACGATTGTGACCCCAACTAAACACTTGGCCATCACTTGTCAATGCAAACGATGACATATCAGAGCAATAGATGGAATAAATAAAATATTTATTATTGAATTCAGTTTTTTCAAATATATTTATGAATTCGCAAGTAGTGTCTCGGCTACCGATTTGTCCGAATTGATTGTTACCCCAACCATACACTTCATTATTATGGGTCAACACAAGTATGTGGTCTGAACCACAACTCGCATCATATATAAAATTATTGTTTTCATTGATTTTACATTTCATTGGTCGAGAAAATACATTATTTTCAGTTTGTCCACAAATAAATAAATAATTATCGCTACTTTGAAAAATTACAAATGAATATCCGTTTATAATATTTATAATCTTTTTATCTCTCAGGTCTTCAATTTCTTGTGGTTGACTCACATACTGGTTGTGTCCCAAACCCAGTGATCCGTAAGCATTAGCACCCAATCCATAGACCCGATCGTCGTGTGTAACAAACAACATATTAATACCCATTTGATCGTCAAATACATAAAACTTTTCAATTATTGTAAACCAATCATTTAAATTATTATTATCAATATTATTTCGATTAATATTTATGTAATTTTTAACTAAATTCTGTGTTTTATATCTAATAAATGTATGAAAAAATGGCCAATAATTTGGTTCATTAAATACATCATATAATCTGATATTCCATTCATTAAGTCTTAATTTTTCCAGTTTTTGTTTAAACTTTGTATCTGTAGTAACAACTGCACCATTAATAGCCCAATCAGTGTATTGTTCAATAATGTTGGCACATGTAGGTCTATCATCGGATAATGTTTCCATCATTTGTATGGCTATATCCAATAGTTTACAATATTTATCATTCCATTCGTGTGATATATATTTAGTACGTGAACTGAAAAATATTAATTAAGTGAAAACTTTTTTTTTTAAAAACATTTATATATTAGACATACTTATAGACATCGATTTCAAATAAATCTTCAATCATAACACCAATACTATAGACATCTGATTTTGTATTATAATTTTCTGAATAGACTTCGGGTGCCATATATTTAGGAGTTCCCACACCAATAGTATGACTTTGTGATACCATTCCATCATTATTACTAATTTCACATTTAGTTTCTTTTACAGTTATCTCTTGTGTCTTTGATACCATTTTGTGAACTGTAATTAATCCTAAATCACCTAATTTTATGAACCGTCCGTGTATTATATTATTAGCAATCAATAGGTTGTCGGGTTTGATGTCGCGATGAATGACCGGTGGTTTCAATTCATGCAAATATCGGACACATTCTAACACTTCCCGAAGTATTTCACACGTAATGAAATATTCCATACAATCCATGGGTTCATCCAATTGTCTGTTAAATACTTGTGCTTTCAATTTGATGGCTACTTTCAGACTCATTATACAGTATTCCATTGTAAAAAATATTTTATTTTTATAAACCCAACTTTCAGTTGTTTGTATTACAAATTTTGAAACTATTTTACTTACTTTATTTAGCTCTATATCATATTCATTGTTAATTGAATAAATATCTAACAATTATAATAATTTTAAATAATTAATTTAATAAATTATTTAAAAAATATTAATTACCTGATATTTCAATTATTTTAATAGCATAAATAGTTTTAGTAAATTTATGTTTGCATTTATACACTGATCCAAAAGTTCCCGATCCTAATAATTTTAATTCATCGTAACTAGTGTTAAACATGCTATACTTTTCATCTGGTAAATAATATATTTTTTATTAAAAATTTATATTTAACATTTATTAGTTAAAATATAAAATACATACGCTTTGTTAACTTTATATACTCTTTATAATTATCAAAAATTTTATTTAGAGTAATTTCGATAAACTTATTAAATTGTTTAGTAAATTCATTTAATGAATAAGCTTTACCAGTTATTTGAGATTTTTGCGACCAATAATCAAAATAGTTTTTATAATTTAATTTATATTTTTTACTCAAAATTAATTCATATAAATTATTATCCATTGAACATAAAACATAACATGAATTCCATTTATAAGATATTATTGATTGAATATTTCTAAAGTTATTATAACTTCCCAATAATTTTGGTGTATTTTGTATTGCAATTTCATTGCTTTTATTATAATATTTGCCACAAAAATAAACTTCATTCAAGTTTTTATTAGTAAAATATGTATTTACAGAACTTGATTGTATTGATGTTATTCCTGTTAAGTTGTATATTAATTTAGGTTTACATATAAATCTAACATTTTCATTGTGACCCAATTTATTGCTACGATTCTGACCCCAACTTAACACTTGTCCATCACTTGTTAATGCAAACGATGACTGGTCAAAACAGTGAACAGATTTAATACAATATTTATCATTGAATTCAATTATTTCTGGTTCATTGATTGATTCACAAGTAGTGTCTCGGCTACCGATTTGTCCGAATCGATTGCTACCCCAACCATACACTGTATTATTATTGGTCAACATTAATGTATGTACTGAACCACAGCTTACATTACATATTAAATGATTGTTTTCAGTAATTTGTATTTTCATTGGTCGCAAAAATTTATTAATATATGTTCCAATACCTAACTGTCCACAATAATTTAGACCACAACAATACACACATTTATCACTACTTTGAAATATTACAAATGAATATCCGTTTAGAAAATTAATAATTTTTTTATGTCTTAATTCTTCAATTTCTTGTGGTTGACTCACATACTGCTTGTGTCCCAAACCCAGTGATCCCCAGGCATTAGTACCCAATCCATAGACCCGATCGTCGTGTGTGACAAACAACATATTAATACCCACTCTATCGTCAAACACATAAAACTTATCAATCATTTTAATCCAATCATCATTTGATATCATATGTGTTTTAATATTTGTAATACTAATAGACCATTGATTGTATTGATCAATAATCTGATCACAATTAGGTCTCTTTTTACTCACTGGTTGTTTTGTTTGACAAATTATTTCAAGAAGATTTAGATATTGTGTTTTATATTCAAATGGTATTATTTTTTTATTTAAACTAAAAATTTAAATAAAATTTAATAAATTATAAAAATTAAATTATTAATACTATTTAACAATAATATACTAACCAATTGATATCAATTTCAAATAATTCTTCAATAATTACACCAATGCTATAGATATTAGATTTTTGATTGTATTTCTGTCGATAGACTTCTGGTGCCATATATTTATAATTTTCGAAATACTTATTATTATTAGTTATAAATACTTTTTCATAACTATTATAAAATCTAAAATCACCTAATTTTATGAATCGTTTATCATTTTTGCGGGTAATTAATATGTTGTCGGGTTTGAGATCCCGATGAATGACCGGTGGATTCAATTCATGCAAATATCGGACACATTCTAGCAATTGATATAATAAAACACTTGACATATTATACTCTTTATAATCCAACTGTTGACCTAATTGTCTATTATATCGGATATATTTAAATCGGATATAATCTTTAAGACTAATTGGACATAACTCCATTGAAATATAAATTTTATTATCAAAATACCAAATATCATAATAATCGACAAAATATTTTGACATAAATTTATTATTATTATTACTTATTTTAGTCAATATTTCATTTAATAATTTTTTATCTAAAAAATTAAAAAATTAATTATTTTTAAATTATTTTATATAAATATTTTTACAATAAATATCTATATATAAGCATAAAATTAAATAAATATTGTTTACCTGATACTATTAGTTGTTTTATAGCAACATTTGTTTCATCCAATTTATGTTTGCATTTATATACTGATCCATAATATCCTGAACCCAATAATTCAATTTCATTGTATAATAAATCATATTTATTTAATGTCTCATTTGTTGGATGATCTTTAATATTATTATTTAACATTAAACTATTCATTTTATATTAATTAAACTTCAAAATATTTTACATTTTACATTTTAAACATTTAAAAAATTTTCGTGTTATTATTAATATTAGATATTAGTTGTTAAATAAAATTATAATTACTACTTATTAGATGATTCACACTTATATATAATTTACGCATTTCATGTTATTTATCAATGTTACCATGATGATTATTATTATAAAACTTTAATGCAATAAATATATTGTAAATGTTAATTAAAAATTAATTTAATATAACAATAACTTATAAAATATTAGATTTTCTTAATTTATTAATCACTAATTAATATTTTATTATTATTAGACTATAAACTAAACATTTTATTTTATTTTAACGAAAAAATTATTTTTTACAATTAATAATCTAAACATTATATAAAAATTTTTGTATTATTATTATTATAAAATATTAGTTATTAAATAAAAACAATAATATGTAATATTTATATGATTCACACTATATATAATATATATATATAATTTACGCATTTCATATGATTTATCAATGTTACCATGATTATTTATTATTGTTATCAAACTTTAATGTAATAAATATATTGTAAATGTTATATGAAATTAATTTAATATAACAATAACTTATAAAATATTAGATTTTATAAATTTATTATTCACTAATTAATATTTTATTATTATTAGACTATAAACTAAACATTTTATTTTATTTAAACAAAAAAATTATTTTTTACAACTAATAATCTAAACATTATATAAAAATTTTTGTATTATTATTAATATTTGAAAATATTAATCGTTAAATAAAAATTCTATTATTTACTATTTAGATGATTCAGACTTTATATTATATATATATATAATTTAAGCATTTAATGTTATTTATCAATGTTACCATGATGATTTATTATTGTTATCAATATTTATTGTGATAAATATAAATGGTATATGATATTATTTTAATATAACAATAACATATAATTAAATATTATATTAGAATTATAAGTAATTTAAAATAATTTTATGTCTAACTTTGTCTCTATTGTCTTATTATACTATTTTGTTAATTACAATTATAATCACGATAATCGTATTTAAATGATATCTTATGTAATATATTTATAATATTAATAATAATAAAAATATACAAAATAAGTTAATTAAATAAAGCATAAATCTAATTTGTATTTAAAAAATATATAATTTATTATTTATATTGAATTGTTATATAAATTTAATTAATTATAAGAAATATTTTAAATTAATAAAATAATTATCAACATAAAAAATATTTTTACACTGTATTTTTATTAATACAAATTTATTCAGATAATAATTTTTTTTTGAAAATTTAAAATTATCAATTATTATTATTAATAATTATTTATTATAATAACAATAATCGTATATAATTGATAACTCATAATATATCTAATATATTTATAATAATAACAATACAAACAATATTTATATTTTATATTTATAAGATCATATTTAAATAAAGCATAAAACTCATTTTTTCAAAAAATTATAATTTATAATATAATGTATTAATAATTAATTATAAACAAAAATATTTTTGCTTTTGTTTTTTTTATTTAAAAAAAAAATAATTTTTACACTGTTATTTTATTATTAATAGAAATTTATTCACAGACAATAATTTTTTATTTTAGAAAATTCAAAAAATTGTTAACAAAAAAAATTTATCAATTATTATTCATTATTATTATTATTATTATTAATTCATAATAAAAAATTATTTTAATTAATTAATTAATTATTGTCACAACAGTACTTTAAAAAAAAAATTAAAATTTATAATATAATATATAAATAATTAATTATGAACAAATATTTTGGTTTTTTTATTAAAAAAAAAATTTTACACTGTTCTTTTATTAATAGAAATTTATTCTAAGACAATAATTTTTTATTTTAGAAAATTAAAAAATCAAATCAATTATTATTCATTATTATTATTATTAATTCATAATAAAAAATTATTTTAATTAATTAATTAATTAATTATTGTCACGACAGTAATTTTCAGTACAGTGTAAATCTTGACAACAAACTGGATAAACAATACGACCTTTATCTATATGATAATAAGTTTGGCAATTATTACCATTCTCAATACATTGATTACCTTAAAAAAAAAAATAATTTATATATATATTAATAAAATACTATATTAGTATTTATTTGAAAAATTATACAATTTATGTCACTTAATAGTTATTAATTTTTTTTTGTAATTTAATAATTTACATAATATATTAGCTAACTGTATACAACAAGTTAACTTGCTAAGCTTAAAGTTAATTGTTTACTTAAATTACAAAACAAAAAAAACAAACAAATTTTATGTTTATTAACTATAATTTTTATAATACAACATAATTTTTTAGATAAAAACATCTTTTAATATATATATATATATATATATATATTTATATATATATATAGATTTTTATTAATTAATAAAAAAATAAAAATTATTAAACATGATTATTATGTATTATAAAAATAATTTTTATTGTTTGTTTCTTTTAATTATTTAAAAAAATACTATTATAGTAGTATAAAAAATAATAGTAGTAGTAAAGGTATAGTAGTACACATCATTAATTAAAATTATTTTTAGTTATAGTTTAGTTAAGCTATTTAATTAGTTTTTCTTTATTTTTTATAAATTTAATTTGTTTAACAAAAGTAATATAAATTTATATACATTATTTAAATAAATTATTTTTCTTTAACAAATATTTAATATTTTTGAAATGATAAATTAAAATAAAAAAAAATATGTATTAAAAAAACAGTGTTATTATTTTTTTTTATTCAACACTAATGATTAAAAATAAAACTAATCTTAAATCAATATAATTAATTAAAAAAATACTAATTAAACATGATTTTTATGTTTTATAAAAATAATTTTTATTTTTTTGTTTGTTTTAATTATTTAAAAACCAGTCGGACAGTCAACTATCAGTCATTACATTCATCGGGTCCTGAATATCCTGAATCGATAGTCACATAGTTGACTAGTTGAACAATTATCAGTACAATTATCGTAACCAACCATAACAAATTGAACTGGTTACTTTTACTAGTACTACTACTACAACTATTAGCCATGGTCAATTTGGTCACAAAAAATTGTAGTGTGTCAGTCTACTATCGTCAGGCTACAATTATCTATTTCTAAATAAATAAATAAAAATTAATTAATATATAATATTGTTTTATAGCAAAAATAATAATAGCATATTTTTATTAAAAAATATTTTTTTTAATGAATTTAAATAATAATATATTTTATAATGATTTTTAAACATTTAATAATAATAATAATAATAATAATAATAAAACATTACTAACTTATTGTATTCTACAGTATTTGTTTTGTTGTTGTTCATTCAAGATATATAAATCAAAATGAAACAAAATAAAACAAAAATATATATATTTTTAGATGTTTTATATGACTAGAAAATAAAAAGTTTTGATTCAAAAAACTACTATTAAATTACCAGGGTTTTAAAAATGGCAGGCATAAACAATAGATTTTTTGCCTATTTTGCCAAATGCCTGCCCTGCCTCTGCCATGCCCTGGGCATCTATTTTCAGGTGGTGACACCTATTATTTTACTTTTATATTATTAATTTATCTATAAAACATTGTTTTATCAATACTTGTTTGTATTTTTATTTTGTATATCTTTACTTAAAAGGTAATATTATTGGAAATAATTATATTAATTGTAAATTTAATTAACAAGCTAAAAACAGTAAATTACATTATTTTTATAAATACAGTTGCTTTTTAGCAATTTAATGTTGCAAGCAAATAAAATAGATGCCCAAAATGCCAGGCATTTATTTGGGCATTGCCAGGGCAGACATTTATTTCCTTAAAACCCTGTAAATTACATCAATTTACGTAAAAAGTATATTTTTAGTTTTATAAATATATTTTTTAAAATATACTAGTGTAGTAATAGTATAAAAAATAGTAGTAGTAAAGATATAGTAGTACACATCAGTAATTAAAATTATTCTTAGCTATAGTTTAGTTAATCAAGTTAATTAGTTTTTTAAAAATTTTTATAATGTAAATATTATTAGTAGTAGTAATTCTTGCGTTTAATAAAATTAATATAAATTTATACACAGTATTTAAATAGATTTTACCAAATCTTTTTATTTTTTATTTACCAAATATTTAATATTTTTGTAATGATAAATTATAATAAAAAAAATATGTAATTAAAAACAGTGTTTATTTTAAAACTAATTTTTTTGTTCTTAAATTTTAATTACTTTATCAATATAATAATGATAAACTATATTATTATTATTATTATTATTATTATTATTATTATTAATCAAATATTGTTGTTGCTTAATTAAGGATCCCCTTCAAGACAAGACCCTTCAATACATTGCAAATTAGCGCAACAAACGGGTTCAACAGGTAGTTGTTTTTCATCGTCAAAATAAGGAAGTCAATATACTTTTGTACAACCTAGTTTTTATTAAGAAATATATATATTAATATTATAAAATACTAAATATTTAAAAATTATATATATTTTAATATTAT